GGGGGCGGCGCTGGGATCTCAAAACCCTGACCCTGTTCCAGAGTGAAATCGCGCTGAAAACTATACCGTGTTCCAGAGTAAAATCGCTGAAAACTATACCCTGTCCCAGAGTGAAATCCAGCACTAGCTTGTGTGAGACCGAATTTTTACCCCATGAATTTTTACCCAGCATCAATAATTCTGGAATTAAACCCTGACCCTGTTCCAGAGAAAAATCGTTGAAATCGATACMCTGTTCCAGAGTAAAATCACTAAAAACGATACCCTRTTCCAGAGTAAAATCGCTGAAAATGATACCCTGGTTGGCGAATATAGGGCAGTCCCCCCCCCTCCACACACATTTTCAACAGCTAACCCAACAACACATTTTTCTAACAGCTAGTCATATGCAGTCAGCGACTACCTTTAATTTATCTTGTATTTTCTCATATATTCACACTCACTCATTATTTTGCCCATGCATAGACCCAAGCTGCAGCATCGCTCTTGGTATGGAAAGTAAGGAAATCACTGACGCCCAGATCACAGCGATCAACTACTATTTACAGTACTATCCATACACAGCAAGGTTGAATCTCGCAATAAAAGGATGGGCACCGACTAGCAACTATGTCGACAACTGGGTACAAGTCGATTTGCTCAAAGTTACAGTCATAACGGGCATTGCAACCCAAGGTCGATTAGATAATTCCAATCACATCAAGACCTATTCCGTGTCATACGGCAATGATGGAAGCAGCTTCACAAACTACGAGGGAGGAAAAGTATTTACTGGTAACAATAACAACCATGTAGCTGTTCAAAATAACTTTAATCCTGTCATTAACGCCAGATACTTCAGAATTATCATTAAAACGTGGAACGSYTACCAACAGTTAAGAATGGAGCTGTATGGCTGTAAATGAACCAATGCCATAGCGATTCCATAGGGGGAGGATACGGGGCGATAGGGGAGAGATGGAAGGGGGCTGGAGAAGTGCACTAAAAAAAACCTGATAGCTGAAAGCACAGTAGACGAATTCCAAAGTATTTTAGACAGAAAGCGTAAGTTAGCTCGGGCACTGATTACTGATCTTTTTGTAAAATATATCTGTCGGTTGAACYTGATTTTTCGTTATTTTTCGGATGTTCCCTGGACGAACGTCCAAAATATAATAAGTCGATGCATATAATGGATGAGTTTCGCGATCTTTGACACTGCGTGTTACTTAATTGTTGTGTGTAAATTATGCTGAAATTTAGATAAAACTCGTGAGAATTCAAACTATTATTTCATTTACGACTTTCCACACTCAGGGTCAGTGACCACGAACGAAACATTTAAGCGAGGCTTCAAGATACACTGATCAGGATCTATTCTTTTGTGCTAACTGTACCTCTCGGTTCTGAAGAGTAGACTAAGGGCACTGTTTACATGAGATAGGGTGCCCCTACGTGGTAGGGCTAACTCTTTTGTTTTCTTTTCCCTTGTGGATTGAAAAAAAAAGGAGTTCGGCTATACATCTAGGGGCACCCTATCGTTTAAAAAGGGTCTAAGGCACAGCGGGTCAGTCTACTCTTCAGGCTCAACGCTTTCTTCGTGGTCACAGAACCAGAGTATGGAAAATGTTAAATTGTCTTCTATACTAACAGATCTCTTGGACTTGCATGTGATGTTTCTGAGTCAAAGAATATCATGATTTTGAGGTTAGCAAAGTGCAAAAGAGATTGATAAAAGAGTTTATTCATGATTTTGCCTAAACTGCATATAGCAAATCCAGGATTTTTTATAGAAGGAAGACTAGGATGAGAATGTTTGGTAGTCACAGGAATCGCTGTCGCATTTTTTACATTTGCATTTTTCATCGATTTTGGTATACAGTGGAGCCATGCTATACAGCCACCCCGTTATCAATAGCAACTGTATCCATCGGTATAAACTTGTGTTATCTTAAAGTAACTATAAGGCACTACACTTATTTTTGTTCTKAATGGTCAAATGAGTTCCTATATGCAAGGGACACAACTGTTGACTCCCAAGTCATTGTAGATATTCATCTCTCACAACAACATCAAAAACTGCGCGACTTAGCTTGTGCAGTTATAACCGTGTTACCATAATAACAGACATTGCGTGAGAGCTTGATGTATTGGCGTTCATTGATTCTCTTACTATATACCATGCCGTGGATGAAACAGTTTCCTTTGTAAGGTTTTCTTTGTTATTTYTGAGTGAAAAATGGACTTCTTTTAATTTCTTTTCGAGATTTTGTAAACATCTTTTGTGTGTCTGTTTTTATATTGATGTTATTGTTATCCTTTGCCAACGTTTTTCCGATCTTTCCTTTTGTAGGACTTTGGTTGACTTCACAAAAAAACGTTTTTCTTTTATTTTGACGTTTAATAGAATGTTTTTCATTGATCATTTAAAATTATATTCGTCAAGAATGACTCTTACTAATAACACTATAACCAAGTGTCTGTATTCCATTTTACTAATGAAGAAAAATAAAAATGCCACAAAATGAATCAAAAAAACGTTATTAAAGATTCCATTTCTMAGACGTCACAGTACGACAAAAGGAGAGAAAAAACTTCATTTGAATAATGTGAAAACTTTATTAGAATCMAATCAATAATTCATAGCATCGAGACTATATATAGTTTGTAATAATGTGAGCCTTCCGTAATTATGTCATTAACTGAGACATTTGTTCAAGAACTGAAAATTGCTCACTTTGTGTTTTCGTCTATACTTGGATTATTTCGCAACAACGAATGCTAATTCTTGATGATTTTTTGACTTTTCTAATAATTCTATAGAGCAGTGTGATTGAATTGATTTATTCTCAGCTGGATGCTTGCTTATACAATTGAAAATCGACTGAGTAGATCAATGATCTTTAAGGAATCAAACGCGTTCAAAGTTTCCTATTAACGTGATCAACTTGATCTTATTTTCCACTGGATCGACTTTTTTCTAAGGATGAGCTCAGAGAACTGGATGTCTGTTCTTATTTTTGCTTTGAAAATTCAACACATCTGCAGTTCCTCGATTCGATCTAAAGCAAGTACTTTCGAAATGCATTCTAACGGACTTTTGCAGCTGGCGCAAGGAATRGAACAGAAGTCAACCCTAGTGGAAGATGCAATGGGTTGTGTCTTTTCTTGCACCAGTACAGATTGGTGTCGTTCGATGAATTTCAAAACCACACCTCTTGAAAACGGTCTTCACGTGTGTGAGCTTCTCTCTTCTGATCGGTTCACAAATGGCACAAGTATAAAGCAAGATAATGGGTTCCGTCATTATAGTAAAAAGGTAAGTTGGAAGTAGATTTCTGGATTTCTTTCGGTTACGATTTTGCCGTTTCTAATTCTTTTTCTCATAAATGTTATAATTTAATTATTATACTTCGCTTTTTTCATTAATATTTCTTTTTGCTAGTACTTTCTCCTTAGATCTCTTTGGTTTTCGAATAAAATGATTACTAATTCATGTAATTCGTACATCATAACATCATGCAGAAATATATGAACAGCAAAAAGAAACATTTTGTACCAAGAGAAAATTGTTTTTATTTAATTGCTTGAAAGGAAAATGAAAAAAACACATTTTAGTTTCCCAACACAATTTAGTTGCCCAACGGCAATGTATAATTCTCTGTATATGTATATCATGATTCACTGAGTTTAGCGCATCTACCTGACGTTTGGTATCAATTATCACTATACCATGATTCAGATGCAGCCGCGTTCATGYTGTTACTGGAAGGAATTCTCGCACTCAACCTGGTAAAACAGTGGGCGGGTAAAAATTGAAAAACAATGATGATGATATGATGCAAAGAATTAAGTTTGAGTGTCTAATGTTTTAAAGTTATTAAACATGGCATCTTATAGATGTGTTAGAAACAAGCTTTGAACGTAAGAAAGGCTCAGAACTCTTGCCTTCGTGGTAAAGTTTTG